TGCAACCCAAGAGTTGTGTGGTGTTTATTCGTGATTTCAATCCCCCCCGCCATTACCGCGCTCTCAAATTTCACCCTCGATGCTCCCTCTACCGTTATTTATAATCTCCATGGACACCACAGTCATGACGTATAAATCAGTGAGCAACAGAATTCAGAAACATTTGATGTAGTTGCAATTTCGCCATTTTCACAACATCAAACGTTTCTGTTGTTCACTGATCTATACGTCATGGCTGTGGTGTCCATAGAGATTATAAATAACGATAGAGGGGGAATCGGGTGAAATTTGGGAGCGCGGTAATGGGGGGCAGTGGGGAAATTGAAATCACGAATAAACACCACACAAGTCTTGGGTTGCACTTGAAACCAGAAAAATTTAAAACAAGAGTCACAAAACTGGGTGTTTTATATGCTTTGAATGTCATTACAAACATTCCCCCCAAATTTTTAATTCAAACAATTCATTTCTCTTGAAAATATCAAAAGTACTGACATCAGCATTATTTGGAACACTGTTTGAAATGTGTTATAAACAAAATTGTGGTAAAAATGCTTGGTAAAAAACAAAACAGAACTCAGTTAACTACCATAAACAAGAATTTACAATAGACATATTGGCTCAAACTCTCTCTTATATTTTAGCATTTTAATTTTTTGACCCCCAATACTGAATAGACACGTTCCCTTTCTTTGACTGAATTAAGATTACGATGCCCCCTCTACTCTCTAGTGTTATTTATAATCTGTATGGTGATGTCGCTATATTTTCTTTCAAAATCAATCCACACCATTTTATATGTACATGTATAAAGTTCCATGTGAAAGCATTCAAAGCAACATACTGCACTTTGTCTTTGATTTATTTTCAGTCTTTATAAACAAATGTTTGCCAACTCTACTAGCAGAATCATGACAAAATACAGTTTCGCAAAATACAGTTTCGCAAAATACAGTTTCGCAAAATGCAGTTTCGCAAAATACAGTTTCGCAAAATACAGTTTCGCAAAGTTTCGTTTCGCAAAGTTTCGTTTCGCAAAGTTTCGTTTCGCAAAATACATTAAGCCCCTGACAAATATATGGCCCAGCATCAGTGAATTTCGTTGAAAAAGTCACGTTTCAGACACGCTGATTATCACCGTGTGATTGTCACACTTGTTATTGCTCATGTCTTCAGGGCGCGAAATAACAGGTGGAGGGTCGGCGGTCAAGGTGACCGGCCAACTCAATTTTACCTCGGACATACCGAAATTCTGGCCGGTCAAATTATTCAGCTTAAAACAAAGCCTAGTAAAGTATACCCCTAAAAATGTGACCATTTTCGCAGTATAGCAGTACAAAAAGCCTTACTGTAATCAGTAATTAAAAATTCCTTCACATAAAACACATAAAACAGCTTGTACTGTGCTAAAAACATGGCCTTAGCTCTTAAGCCAAAGGCATGGTCATGGCCCATGGGCTTTGTGACGTACTGCGTGCGAAAACTGGTGTACATTGAGTTGTTTTCCTGCACAATATTCGACAACATGCATGTTATGGTTCTTAATTATAATACTGTACTTGACCACTTTAGTTTGATTATTATTATAAAATGAAGATTAGTTTGTTCTTTTGTACCGAAAGTGACCGGTCAAAATGACCGGCAAGGTAAGGATTTGACCGGACAACTCCGCATTCTGGCCGGACATTGTCTGTTGACCGGCCGTTATTTCGTGTACTGTGTCTTACATGAAAATGTCACGTTTCAGACATGGCAACTATCACTGATTGACTGTCACACTCATTAGATTGCTCATGTCTCACTCAATGTATCACTTCAGAACGTCACAATTGAGATACACAAGTTGTATGTTATGGCCTGAATATCGCTCATGTCACGCCATAATGTTTGGTACAGGTTGGCAAGAAAAAATTGTCAATTTTTGCCATAACGCAAGCAAATAAATCTTGTAAAGGAAAACTTGACAGGGAAAATATTGTTGTCTGTATGGGGCTAAAGCTAAGCTGCTTTTGAATTAACGACTGGCCACAGAACTATGGCTTTGGTTCAACTTAGGGGCTGTCGACAAAGAGATTTCGTCCACCAATGGCGAACTTGTTCCACAATGGGGGGAAGGGGTCAGCCTTGAATCCACAAGTACAAAATAATCAGGATAAAAACTTCCTTTTCTGGCTAAAAGTTCATTGGATTGGTCCGCAAAGGGGTTGAAGCAATTGCAGAATAAGGCCGCAATCAGTGGACGGAATCTATTTGTTGATGGACCTTACCAATAATCTTGCCCACATCTCGACTCGATACTTCCATCTTCAAAGCTCCCCCACCATCCCAACGTGCACCTGATATTCCATCCCCACACTCCCCAGATTCAAATCCCCTGGACTGTTCTAGCTGTTCATCCCTAGCTGAAAACCTTGAATCAAACCCCCCTCTTGGTTTCCTTGGCCAGGCATTACCCAAATCCTGGTTGCGCTCGGAACTGTGCCAGGCAGAACTGTTTGATCCATTGGTTGTTCGCCAATTGTCTGAAGGACCCTTAGCTCTTCCCCTTCCACGACCAAACCGTATTTCAGGAGTAGAAAATCCAGAATTTTGCGAATTCGCAATGGAGTTAGATTCACCGGTCATCCAATGCACAGTTTTTGAAACGCCAGAGCTTATTTCTGAATCCCAATCTTCCCCAGAATCGCTCATTCTTTAACTTATATCGGTGGAATAAAAAAAATGTGATTGAATATCATATAAAAACCTTTAAAAATCCGGAACTTTTACAAATTGACTACGAAATGTGGGAAACGCTTGTGTCAAAATGCGCTAGATTGGAATTCACTCAATCTCGTTCCCCGAGCCTGCGATATTATAGTATATCAAAATCACTGATCAGAATACAATGAGATTAGGGTACCTAGGGTACTACAATCAGGAGCAAAAATTATTGAGACAACCGCATAAGTGCCCCCCTCACCCCCAATTCAATGTTGTGTGGATGACTGAAAAGAGAAAATTCAACCCACTTTTTCCAACATTGATCATGGGGGCAGGGGGGAGGCCGACGTACTTTAAAATGGCCAAAAAGTCTCATTATTTTTGCACGCGATTGTCTGAGATGGAGCTGTCTGGGGGTTAGCTGTCCAAAATTTGAAATTTTGCCAAAATCTAGCGATCAAGATGACATGAGATTGATATATTTCAATCAATTAACCGAAAGTTTTTTGTCCCCCAAAATGTAGAAATTCTGCAAGGAGGCTGCGCGCGGGGGGTGGACCGGGCAAAATAAAGAAGCTTTTCTAACGAATTTAATTTTTACTATCATTTACTTACTAGAAAAAAATCTTTGGGAAAATAGACAAGTTGTAGGCTAAACACGATTTATTAAAATACTTTGCGATATAGTAACAACACATCCAATAAGCCATAAAAATCTAATGTAGTGTTTTAACTACTCTTACGTCCTTTCAAGCTCAATTAGCCATCATTTCCTCAGGAGGGAATCATTATAGGAGAGTTCCTCAGCCTAGCCATATGACGAAAAATGAGAAAACTTTGTCATTTATACCGCAGTATGTGCTGTTGTCGGCTTGTGGGATGTTCACCAACTACTCTAAATTGATTAGTTCATGTAAATTTTATGCACTAGTTGGCTTCATTAAGCAAACGCTGACACGTTACACACACGTTACATACACGTTACACTACACATTACACCTACTTTACATAATAATCTATACTAAAATATATAGAAATATGACACGTTACACACGTTACACCAATTGTTTTTAAAAATAAATATATATATTTATTTTTAATAACAATTGGTGTAACGTGTGTAACGTGTCGTATCTCTATATGTTTTACTCAGAGGCGCAGCCAGGATTTTTGGTCAGGGGGGGGCAGCAAAAACCCAGGTGGGGCCAAAAACATTTTCAGACCACAACATTTTAAATCTCTTCGACCACCACTCCCCTCGTCGACACCTTCTTTTGGTAAAAAAAACCTTTCCGGACATGACAATTGCTTTCATAGCAATTTTCCCGATTGCCGTATCACTTTTTCCGATGCTTCACCACAAAGATTCCGACAACATTGACAATTTTCCGACGGGTCTCGACTTGAAGCTATATAATCAAGGATTTTTTTTATTGCTGCGTAGCGAACGAGCTTGAAGCGAGCGAGCGAAGCAGCATTCTAATATGTGCAGAGAGGGGATTTTGAAGTAAATTTTATTTAGCGCATTGTATTGTGGTCTTGTGCGCTTGCTATGCGCAAAACGCAAAAAAAGTACGACATACAATGTTTGAGGCGTATTTGAAGGATATCGTTTGTTAGTATTTTTGCACAAATAAAAATAACAAATCCTACAAGGTGATTGGTCAAATTTGATGTATTAATCTGTTATATTACAAAATCGAAATTTTCAAAATGGCGGCTAGCCATTTTGTTGAAGTTAGTGATAAAGAAATAAACGAAATTAAAATGAATTCAGACAAGAAAAACACAAAAAAACTTGTGCAAAAATACTAAAACAATTATTCGCCTCAGGCTCGGTGATTATCGGGAAATATTCTAATTCACCTCGACTTCGTCTAGGCGAATATTCCCCGATAATGTCGATAATCACCTCGCCTTTGGCGAATAATTGTTAATTGCTTTGCTTGCTTCGACTTGTAAATTATTTTGACTCAGGCACTCAGCGTAAGGTTTAGTAAAGTTTTAAGCCCTGTAAAGGCCATGATTTAATCCCCGAGCTGACGGCGCGAAGCGCCGTACGAGGGTACTAATTCCCCCCGGCTATTTACACCCGGGGAAACGAAAGCATTAGCGGAGTCTAAAGATCATCAAATATCGCGGGCGTGGCTCACCAACGATGTTTCGGTGGGTGGTCATCCTCACTGATCTCAAAATATGTGGCGGACTGTCATGAATAGCGAAAACTGATTGGTCCAATTTAAAGTTTGCATTATAACGACTGCATGACGACAGCGAAATAGCAAACATTTCTTGATTTGATCACAGAATAGGAAGGTATAACTTCCCATTCTGTGATTTGATGATTGATAAATTTCTTGCAAATATCACAAATATATTTCATTTTCGCTCGCATTTTTGCAAGATTTTGTAAATTTCAAGAAAGAAAGGGCGAAAGAATCTGCTAAAAGAAGTGAGCCGACGTTAACGAAGGTAAGTTTGTTTTAAATATTGATTTTATAATGGATTTAATTTAAAACCCGACGGCCTTTGCATATATGAAACAACTAAGCAAGACAGCATATTATTTCAGTGTATCTTTAGTAATATTGATTCCCTTTTTTAAAAGAAAGCAGAAAAAAGAAAGCAGAGTTATTTGCAAGCGAGAATTTTAAGTCATTTTATTGCAGTTTATCGATAAAGCCGTTTTAAAAGGCAGTTTAGTTTTATAAAGAACACTAGTGACTTTAAAACGTTTTGCGAAGCGTTTGTGGTTGAATTTTACCTTAAATTGAGGCTTATATTACGTATAATAACATACCTAACATATATATGTTGGGGAATTAATACTTTTGTAATTAAAATTTAAAAGTGATATTTTTTAGGCGATTTTTCATTTGTAAGAATATTCTTAAAAAATTATCGTGTTACCATGACAACTACTTCAGATACTTCATGTTCGGAAAATACAATGGTTTTGTCTGTTTGTCAGCAAGGCGAGGGTTTGTGCATGCATGTATTTTCTAGTTAGTGTATAAAATAACGTGACTGCACTTTGTGCGTTGTCAGGGCCGTAGGAAGCTCTTTTCGATTTGGGGGGGCTGAAAGCGAGGGCCGAAGGCCCGAGGAAATTTTTAAATTTAGAGTCTCTAAAATGCCATTTCCTGGACTTTGGGGGAAGATTTAACAGAATTCTGATAGTCAGAAAACAGCGTTTTAGTATGTCGAAATTTACAGGAAAGTATGGGCCAGACTGTAGTATTATAAATGCGCGGCGGGAATTTTCGTCGTAAATGGCAGTTGCGCGGAAATGAAGGCAGAACATTTGAGAAAATTTCGAAAATCTGGAGTCTCTAGATGGTCTGAAATGGCATTTTCAGAGTTTTCTTTCGCAAGACCCAACACGCAAAAGACAAAATAAATTATTAGTTCATCAAAAATGTGCAGATTTTGTGGGATTTTCTTGAAAATGCGCGACAGAAATTCAGCTAAAATTTCTACGCGAGGAACGATCTGGAGTATGAGTAATATCTTCATTCTTTGCAGTTTGTCACAGATTAAATGATAAAGTTTGCATGACTTTGAAAAAAGAATGATTATTAGCAAATTATTGGGGGGGGGGGGCTGCAGCCCCCCCAGCCCCCCCGGTTGCTACGGCCCTGGTTGTTCACTCAATGGACTTTGACCACTGTAAGTTCCATATTTTAATTTATTATAAAATTTTGGTTTCTTAGTTTAATACTGTCTATACAATGTGGTAAATGCGCCTAGCAGTATTAGACTTAATAATATGAAATCAGATAGCAAAAACATACGCGTACTAGAGCAGCGCGTATTAAATTCAACAAATTCCACTTCATCTTGAAAATATTATATATTCTTGCTTATGATTTAGTGAATATTACTTCCATAAATATTAACACGCCTATCTGCATGTAATCTGTGAGTGCTCTTGAGCCCGTGCATGGTCTTGGCAACAAATGCATTGCTTTTTCTCGGACATGCACTCATGGCATAAATCGTTTCCGTATTCCTTAAGCTCCGACCACAGTGCTCACAAGTCGTCGGCTCGCTGCGAGTAATAACTGCATGCTTTATGTAATTTGAACTATTTTTAGTTCTATTTGCTCTTGATGCCCGCAGCAATCCCTACCTTGCAGGTACCCTTACTAGTACAAAACATTTTATGGGGAGCCCAAAAATTTTGCCAGGGGTGGCCCAAAAGTTTGCCAGGGGGAGCCGGGCCCCCCTACCCCAGCCCAGGCTACGCCTCTGGTTTTACTACAGATTATTATGTAACGTGTGGTGTAACGTGTGGTGTAACGTGTCTATAATCAGAACGTAAAAGTAGATTGATATTTTGCGCATGTGCGACCAGATTTACTTGAGCTCATCTCACATAATCCCAAAATCAGACATGGAAGTTTGCAGTAAATTCTAGTGCAAGTTTGCGATTGGTAAGTGCATATATCAACATAAATAAAATGCTTGAATTGGGTTTAACATCTAGTGAGTATGTCAATCTTACGTAACAATTCAGCTAAAAGTAAAAAAATCACCGAAATTTTTCCAAAATTGTGTACAAGTAGGTCTGAATGATGCGTTGTCTGTTATAAAATACTTGAACTTAAAGAAAATATTCTGTTTGAGAAAAAGAATATGTACTCATGATTGTCATCTATGGGAAAAAATAGTCTGAATTTTATTCATTATTTTATAATCTTCTTCTAATGTATATATGATGGTTGTCCAATACTGTCGAACGTATACGGATCGTAAAGATGGTAAAACATTGAACACAATCCGTACGGTCCGCACGAACTGTAAAATGGCTTTACGGACCGTACGATCCGTACGGTTCGTGAAGATGATTTACGGATCGTAAACCTACTTTGTCGATAGCGATGTTGTGTTGAAGTGAGGGCATAAACGTTTGTCGATTCGTACGGATCGTACGAACTGTGAAATGGCTTGACGCACCGTACGAACCGTACGGTTCGTGAAGATGAGTTTACGGATCGTGAACCTACTTTGTCGATAGCGATGTTGTGTTTAAGTCAGGGCATAAAAGTTTGTCGATCCGTACAGATCGTACGGTCCGTACGAACTGTAAAATGAACGTACGAACCGTACGGTTCGTGAACATGATTTACGGATCGTGAACCTACTTTGTCGATGGCGATGTTGTGTTTAAGTCAGGGCATAAAAGTTTGTCGATCCGTACAGATCGTACGGTCCGTACGAACTGTAAAATGGCTTTACGGACCGTACGAACTGTACGGTTCGTGAACATGATTTACGGATCGTGAACCTACTTTGTCGATGGCGATGTTGTGTTTAAGTCAGGGCATAAAAGTTTGTCGATCCGTACGGATCGTACGGTCCGTACGAACTGTGAAATGGCTTTACGGACCGTACGATCCGTACTGTTCGTGAAGATGATTTACGGATCGTGAACCTACTTTGTCGATAGCGATGTTGTGTTGAAGTGAGGGCATAAAAGTTTGTCCATCCGTACGGATCGTACGGTCCGTACGAACTGTGAAATGGCTTTACGGACCGTACGAACCGTACGGTTCGTGAAGATGAGTTTACGGATCGTGAACCTACTTTGTCGATAGCGATGTTGTGTTTAAGTCAGGGCATAAAAGTTTGTCGATCCGTACAGATCGTACGGTCCGTACGAACTGTAAAATGGCTTTACGAACCGTACGAACCGTACGGTTCGTGAACATGATTTACGGATCGTGAACCTACTTTGTCGATGGCGATGTTGTGTTTAAGTCAGGGCATAAAAGTTTGTCGATCCGTACGGATCGTACGGTCCGTACGAACTGTGAAATGGCTTTACGGACCGTACGAACCGTACGGTTCGTGAACATGAGTTTACGGATCGTGAACCTACTTTGTCGATAGCGATGTTGTGTTGAAGTGAGGGCATAAAAGTTTGTCCATCCGTACAGATCGTACGGTCCGTACGAACTGTAAAATGAACGTACGAACCGTACGGTTCGTAAACATGATTTACGGATCGTGAACCTACTTTGTCGATGGCGATGTTGTGTTTAAGTCAGGGCATAAAAGTTTGTCGATCCGTACAGATCGTACGGTCCGTACGAACTGTAAAATGGCTTTACGGACCGTACGAACTGTACGGTTCGTGAACATGATTTACGGATCGTGAACCTACTTTGTCGATGGCGATGTTGTGTTTAAGTCAGGGCATAAAAGTTTGTCGATCCGTACGGATCGTACGGTCCGTACGAACTGTGAAATGGCTTTACGGACCGTACGATCCGTACTGTTCGTGAAGATGATTTACGGATCGTGAACCTACTTTGTCGATAGCGATGTTGTGTTGAAGTCAGGGCATAAAAGTTTGTCGATCCGTACGGATCGTACGGTCAGTACGAACTGTGAAATGGCTTTACGGACCGTACGAACCGTACGGTTCGTGAACATGATTTACGGATCGTGAACCTACTTTGTCGATGGCGATGTTGTGTTGAAGTGAGGGCATAAAAGTTTGTCCATCCGTACGGATCGTACGGTCCGTACGAACTGTGAAATGGCTTTACGGACCGTGCGAACCGTACGGTTCGTGAACATGATTTACGGATCGTGAACCTAGTTTGTCAATCCGTAAAAAGCGTCAATGGGTGATGTTGTGTTCAAGTCAGGGCAGGAAAGTTTGTCGATCCGTACGGATCGTACGGTCCGTACGAACTGTGAAATGGCTTTACGGATCGTACTTTTCGTGCCTAATCTTTAACTCGGTCAAGGCAATGATTAAATACATGGTGGCGTCGTATACGGTTTGCCATGTCGAAAATATATTCTTCTTGTCAGATTGTAGATGATTAGAAGTGGTTTTCCCGTTGTGGAATGTGACGTGTGGCTGTGTGCTAAAACTGCGGACAGAACAATAGTGGATGAGTTTGTGAATGAGACTATGTTATAAGGCGAAAAAAAGCGTATACCAAAGTATTAAATGACAATATTATGTCAATGACAATGACATTGTAATGCTGGATGATTCCGTTTGGCACCTGCCGTCTGCCAAAAAGATACTTGATAGGTATAGCATTCAAATGTGCGGTATATAACATCCAGTTTACACTTGGCGCGAAAAGTTTTTGCGAGCATAATTTTTTCTAAGGCCGCGGCTAATGTAGAGTACGGTACCCGGACCCCTGTACATTGACGACCCCAACGCATGTTGGGGTATGTATAAAAGAATGTTCCGCCATCTTGTATTTAGTTTAGACAATATATTTTGTATCTTACACTGGGCTCGTTTATCTTCTGTTTTGGCACGTTACTACATGGTGGCAGCGGTGAAAAATAGTAAAATGGCAGACGATACAACAGGGAATATGTCCCAAGTATAAAATATCCCGATTTCTGAGAAATTCGATGGGGGAAATGGCCCAAAACAAGGCGACTTGTGGCCGAAGTGGATACGCCGGCTTGAACGCTACAGAATTTCCTCGGGGCTTAATAATAAATCGGATGCTGAACAAGTATCTACATTACTGTATGCGATGGGTGAATGCGCTGATGATATCTTGAAAACGCTACAAATTGACGAGGACAAAGCTTCGTACGAAGAAGTCAAGTCAGCACTCGAGAATCACTTTTCTGACAGAAGAAACGTACTTGTTGAGCGTGCTCGCTTCAACCGAAGGGTTCAACGCACTGGGGAGCCAGTGGATACATTCATCCAGGATCTCTACAAAATTGCAGCAGATTGTGAGTATGGAACATTAAGAAACGAATTGATTAGAATTATTGTAGGGGTTGTAGACGATTCACTCTCAGACCGCCTCCAGTCTAAGCCAAAACTGGCGTTGCAAGAAGCAGTGCAGATTGCCCATCAAGCAGAGGAACGAAAACATAACAGAGATGTAGTGAGAGGGGATGCCACAAAGTCTAGTGATGTTTATTATGTCCGAAATGGGGCCCAAACCAAGGGGAGATATCACAAGCAAAATCCTCGTCCCCAGGAAACTAAGGGTCCCCATACACCACTTAAGAAATCAGGGGATAAATGTAATTGGTGTGGCCACGAGAAGCATGACCGTAAAGTTTGTCCAGCAAGGTCAGTTACCTGTAATAAATGTAAGAAAAAGGCCACTACCAAACAGTTTGTCAGAGCAAGCCAAGTTCTTCCAAGTCAGTTAACGAAGTTAAGAGCCTGGGGGAAGATCAGGTTCTGTTTCTCGGGGAGATCATTGTGTAAATGGTTGGCCCACTTTTTTTTCCCAATCTCGGATTTTGAAAAAATTTTCATTTTTTTTTTCAAACCTCGGAATTTTGAAAAAATTTTCATTTTTTTTTTCCAACCTCGGAATTTTGAAAAAATTTTCATTTTTTTTTCCAACCTCGGAATTTTGAAAAAATTTTCATTTTTTTTTCCAACCTCGCAATTTTGAAAAAAATTTCATTTTTTTTTTACCAATCTCGGAATTTTGAAAAAATATTCATTTTTTTTTCCAACCTCGGAGTTTTGAAAAATTTTCATTTTTTTTCCAACTTCGGAATTTTGAAAAAATTTTCATTTTTTTTTCCAACCTCGGAATTTTGAAAAAATTTTATTTTTTTTCCAACCTCGGAATTTTGAAAAAATTTCATTTTTTTTTTCCAACCTCAAAATTTTGAAAAAAATTTCATTTTTTTTCCAACCTCTCTCAATTTTGAAAAACGTTTCATTTTTTTTTCCAACTTCGCAATTTTGAAAAAATTTTCATTTTTTTTTTCAAACCTCGGAATTTTGAAAAAATTTTCATTTTTTTTTCCAACCTCGGAATTTTGAAATAATTTTTTATTCAAACCTCGAAATTTTGAAAAAAATTTCATTTTTTTTTCCAACCTCGAAATTTTGAAAAACATTTATTTTTTTTTCCAACCTCGCAATTTTGAAAAAAGTTACATTTTTTTTTCCAACCTCGAAATTTTGAAAAAAATTTCATTTTTTTTTTCAAACCTCGGAATTTTGAAAAAATTTTCATTTTTTTTTTCCAACCTCGGAATTTTGAAAAAAAATTCATTTTTTCTTCCAACCTCGGAATTTTGAAAAAATTTTCATTTTTTTTTCCAACCTCGGAAATTTGAAAAATTTTCATTTTTTTTTTCCAACCTCGGAATTTTGAAAAAATTTTCATTTTTTTTCCAACCTCGGAATTTTGAAACAAATTTTATTTCTTTTTCCAACCTCGGAATTTTGAAAAAATTTTCATTTTTTTTTCCAACCTCGGGATTTTGAAAAAAATTTCATTTTTTTTTCCAACCTCGGAATTTTGAAAGAAATTTCATTTTTTTTTTCAAACCTCGAAATTTTGAAAAATTTTCATTTTTTATTTTCCAAACTCGGAATTTTGAAAAAAATTTCATTTTTTTTTCCAACCTCGGAATTTTGAAAATGTTTTCATTTTTTTATCCAACCTCGGAATTTTGAAAAAAATTTCATTTTTTTTCCAAC